TTATTAGGACTGCATGGAAGTTCAACAAAACCCAGCTACTACCAAAAGCAGTAAAATAAATCACTGGGACAGCCTTTGGAATGAAGGGTAACCAGCAACAGCAAAAGGAAAGCCAGAAGATTGGCAACTGGTAGGAAATGGGGCAATTGGGGGTGAGAAGGAGCCAGAACAGATTCTGCCTCCTGAAGAGTATATTGGGCAAGAGCCACTAAGACACCTGAAGAGGCTACATTGAGATGGTGCAAAGGAGACCTCCAGCAACCACTCACTGCCACGGGGCATCATGGGAGGGAGCCATATGGAAAAGAAGACAGGAAAATGTTATCTGCTGTTTCATAGATCTTGGGCCAAGCTAGGTGGGTGCAATTTGGCTCTCTAATGTCTGCTTATACAGATCTACCTTTATTTTTAAAACTCATTTCCTGTAGCGAACAAGGAGGTTTGCCTTGCTTTTTCTTTATGCTCATAACGGTGTAAACTCCATGGATGCTTCCTTGGGCCAGATTTGGAGCAGCGGAGTTACTAGATTACAACTATCACCACATTGCCTTTCAAGTGACTTGGACCCATTTATTCTCTCACTGGCAATGTTTAAAAATAATTGTTTCCTCTGGCATTCAATTTCTTAAAAAATGTTCCAATCGGATCCACAAATTTATGGTTTCCTCAAATTTGTGAGTGAAGCTGTCTTGTTAAGAATTATGTAGGTAGGGTCGGGGATTTAGCTCAGTGGTTTCACCACCTGCTGCGCAAGCGCAAGGACCTGAGTTCGAACCCTGGTACAAAAAAAAATTATGTAGGTCATATAACAAAGAGGCTATTCAAAAATACTTCAAAAACCTCAAAATCCTCTATTTCATCTCTTTACATCTCTATTTCTCCTATCATATAAATTCTAGATGCCATAATTCTATTTAAATTATTTTAAATTAGAAATTGCCTGGTTTTTATCACTCATTTTTATTGGGTATGCAAATTAAAGAGTTTCATTGTGGCAGATTCATACATACACATAATATTTTATCACTTTAACCCCTGGAAATTTCTAGTTTCACATTTTTGAGGGGTTTCAATACGTATATTTTGCTCATATCCTTCCCGCTCTTACCCATTCTTACACATACACCCTTCCTCTCATTCCTTTCCTCTTGTCTAATAATCTCCCTTCTACTTTTATGTCAACATTTTTAGATTCCACATATTAGGGAGGCTACGTGATACTTGTTTTTCTGAGTCTGACTTGTTTCATTCAACATCATGGGTTCCAATAGATCCCTTTTTTTTTTTTTTTTTTGCAAGGGGGGATTGTTTGAGACAGGGTCTTGCTATGTAGTTCAGGCTGCCCTTAAACTCACTATGTAGCCCAGGCTGACCTTGAACTTGAGGCAATCCTCCTGCCTCAGCCTCCCAAGTGCTGGGATTCCAGACATGTACCACCATACCTTGCAGTTCCCATAATTCTAATCTAAATATTTTTAAGACTTTATTGAGCTAGGCTTGGTGGAAAATGACTATAATCCTAACTACTAGGGAAGCTGAGGTGGGAAGATGGCCACCCTAGGCAAATTAATGAGACTCTATCTCAAAAAATAAAAAGGCTGGGGGGATAGCTTAATAGCAGAGCACTTGCCTAGCATACATGAGGCCCTCGGTTTAATCCTCAGTACCACTTTTTAAAAAATTGATTGATTTTAGAGACTTGCAGATAAATTGCTGAAAATGATCATTGAAAAATGTGAACACTAAAAAAAAAAGGGAACACTGTTCTGTTTCTTATCTCATTTTGCTAATGTAGCCAAATGTGTACTGCATGCTTTAATTTTTTTCAGTGAATCACATAAGATTTTTACCCAAAACAAAGAGTATATTTTCGGAAGAGAATTTAAGGATCTCCCTCTGTAAAATACCATCCACAGTTTCCTTTCTCTGATCTTTAAAAATATCTGTTCATTAGAGTTAAAAATAGCTAATCAGGGCCGGGGATTTAGCTCAGTGGCACCGCGCCTGCCTCACAAGCAAAAGGTCCGGAGTTCAATCCCTGGTACCAAAAAAAATAGCTAATCATTTCATCACATACCTAGATTATATCTCTATTATTTCACCTCTTACTGCTCTAAAGTATCACTCATCCATATTTCAATTTCTGTCACAAAACAGATAATTTGAATTATCTACTCTTCTATCAAATACAGTGATTCTAACTTAATGAATCAATTTCTGAAAGTCTAACTTGATGGCTAAAATAATATAACTGTCAATCAATTGTCCTTTTCTTCTGTTAACCTCACCAAGTAAATAATTTTGTCTTTAGTTCTGCTTGGATTCTTATGTCCAAAGGTAACAGCTACTTCCAAGAGCTTAATCTGATGTGTGAAATTACTTATTTCAGGAGCTGTAACACTTGGTGCAGAAATATTAGTAAATATATTTTTGCCTTAATTTGGATATTTTCTTCATAATCTTTCTTGCCATCTCACAAACTGAAAAAGTAAACCTTGTGATCATTTTTAAAAATTATTTCAAATGTATTTTGACACAAAATAGATGACTAAAAAAATAAGAGCCAGGAATGTAGCTCAGTGGCACAGCACCTGCCTGGCAAGTACAAGGCTCAGATTTTGATTCCCAGTACCCCCAAAAAAGAAAACTACCCACACTCAGTGGCACATGCCTATAATCCTGCAGCTGTGGGACACTAAGGCAAGAGAACTGGAAATTTGAGCCCATCTTGGGCAATTTAGCAACATTCAATCTCAAAATTAAAAGAAGGGGGTCTGCCAATTCATTTTGAAAAATAAAGATAATATTATGGCTTCTTTTCTGAAAAGTGCATGAGCATGAAAGCTGATAAAAAAGAATAAACCTATCTTACCTCAAAAAAAAGGGAGGGGGTCTGGGAATGTAACTGAGTTCAAAGGTCCTAGGTTCAATCCCCAGTACTGGGAAAAAGAAAAAAGAAAACTGATCATAATAATATTGTACTGATGTTAAATTTCCTTACTGTTTTAATCATTAATCACTGTTAACTATGTTAATTACAGTTATTACCATTAACATTTACATAATTGTAGGCATGGCAATAAAATTCAATGCAAGATTTTTGATTGGGTCCTAGATATAAAAAATAAAAGAGCTCTAAAGGACATGTGGATAATTGGAGAAATTTGAATGTGGTTCATATGATAGATAATAGCACTTATTAGTGTTAAATCTCCTTGATGTCACAATTGTGTTATAATTATGTAAAAGACTGACTTTATCTTAGGAGATACATATTCAAGAATTCAGGGCTGACATGTGTCCTAAAGTAACCAATATGCTCTCAATGAGTCAGGAAAACATCAGAGAGAGAGAAAGAGGGAGAGAAAATGGCAAAATGATACAGCTGATTAATCTTCATGATGGAAATATGGATGTTCATTGTACTATTATCTTAATTTTTATATAGGTTAAAACTTCTCATACCCATGATAAATGTATATATTATATATTGGTAAATATATACTAATAAAATATTTTGATTAAAAAAATTTTAGTCCCAGCATGGTAGTACATGCCTGCAATCTTACCACTCAGGAGGCTGAGACGAGATGGGTGTAAATTCGAGTGAGTTCAAGGTCAGCCTGAACTATATATCAAGACTTTCTCTCAAAAAATGTTTTTAGGCCAGGCATGGCGGTGCACGCCTGTAATCTCAGCACTTGGGAGGCTGAGGCAGGAGGATTGTCATGAGTTCAAGGACAGCCTG